ACGGTTTTCTAGCCCATAAAATACCCTTACCTGCTGCATTGGAAGGCAGAGGAAGACCAGCGACTGGGCGGAGCAGCAGAGAAGTTCTGTCTCCTTCTCGGGGTATCTATGCCACAGGTGCATTCACAGAGGCCTCCTCATTCTTCTCACAGCGCCATCTGGAAAGTCCTCAAGGGGAAGTTGCAGGAGCTTCAAATAACCACATGACAGTTACATTTGTTTCTAACCTGACCACATCATACACTGTAAAAAAATGAAACGTTGAATTTACTTCAAGGTGCATGAAGTAAGAATGACCTCATGTGGCCAATATTGGGTACTGCAATCCATGTATCATGTAGAGTCTCAGCCACCCCTTCCTTTTGGAAATTTCATGGCTGGTGCCAATTACAGATCAGCACCAGAACATTCCAGACGACCAGGGGCGGATTAAGAACTGAAGAACATCCGGGGCTTAACACACGCACACACATGCGCACGCGCGAACACACGCGCGTGCACACGCACGCAAGGACGTAATTTTCACTTAAGAAGTGGGGGGGACACGGGGGGGGGGGGGGTATATTTACAGTATGTTCCAATGGAAACAGGCTTCAACACAAACTGTTGTTTTCCGCTTGGTCCTACAGCTCAACCAGTGTCAATTTAATATAGCGTAATATTGTTTTTGGATGGCAAAAAGTGCAGGGGTCAAAACTTGACTTGGGAAAAAGTGGGGGGGACATGTCCCCCCTGTCCCCCCCCCCAAAATTACGTCCATGCACGCACGTGACACGCACTATTCACCATCATATATGTCTTGTACCTCATAATTTTAATCTGAAGCTAAATATTCAGCATATTCAGGGCAGAGTATTGTTCCTGTTAGTGTTTAGTGTGAGATGATAGTAAATATTCCCTTTCTTTCTCCAAAAACTTTACCTGATAGTAAGCTAACTTTAGGCAAACCAGCAGCACAACAAATATTTTCAAATAAGACCCACAAACCTGAGTCAACACCAGTCTCATCAAAGCTGGGGTTCTGTCGTTGTACTTTTGGTCTAAAAAACGTTTTTATGTCCATCTTCACTCATGCGTTTCAGGCAGAGACTGTAGAAGAAGCCGGCTGCTGAAGGGCTTCTTCTTCAGTGGTGGAGGCTCAGGCAGGCTGTACACAAACTACTGCTAGCTGCTCCCTCTCTGTTGGACTTTGGTACTGCATGTTACTTCCGCGATTTAGATCCGGGCCTTTCCATGAAAGATCCGGGGCTTCAGCCCAAGTAGCCGGGCCTAACGCCGCCCCTGCAGACGACAAGCAAAAATGAGTCATTCGCAGTAAGTTGATGAGCAGGTACATTTTCCACTGTAATATTGAGTTGTTGGTACCTGAATTTTTTTTTAACTGTTAACATTGTTAGCGTAACATTAGCCTCTAGGCTAGTTCTGTGTGGTTTATCAGAATCCATTATTTGGTTTATTTCTACACATAGTTAGCCGAAACTTGTCGGCAATAATTGCAAACACAAAGTTGTATTACACTGTGCAGAAAAGAATCAAATGATGGGATACTGGGCAGTTTTGTTTGCATTTAGCAACCGTTAGTGTATGCAGGAAACGTCCTGGAAGCAGACTGCAGCTCCACCACGTCAGCTCCACTCCACAGCTCCCTCTACCAGCAGGAACTGGACCGGCACTCTGAAGTTGCAAATGGAATATTCTAGCCACAGAGGGTGAAGGGGTCTGAGTGTCATTTCATTAACCCTGTAAAGGGTCGTTTTTGCACATACTGGCTCAAGAAAATGATTTAAAAATATGAAAAAGTTGCCAAGTGTCCCTTTAACTGTAAAGAGTTATATTGTTGTATGTTATGTTAAAAGGTTAAGTGGAACCACTGGAAACAACTTAAATAAATGTACTGAAGTAAATAAAACATTTAATTTCTTAGAGTGTACATTGGTTTACCCTGTTTTAGTAAAAATGTAGTGGTTGGTTTATCAGGTGATTTTTTTTTTTCCTGTTTTGTGTCCTAATCATGGGTCTGAACTGTGTGAGGCATCAAAATCTGCTGTTTTTAAGAGTGTGACAATGCAAAAGACAAAAACAGTATTGGGTACAAGGGCAGAACTGAGGCAAAACCTCGCCTACCTTTCATTAAAAATATATATTTAAAAAAAGCTTTTTGGAAGAAAAACAGAGGTCGGCATTACCCAAAAACATTCTGCAGCTGATGAAAGCCAGTGCAACACATATTTTTGGTTTAAATTTTTCCATTTTCATGTTCCATTCTCTTTCAGTGCAGCTTTTTTCTTCTTCACAAAACCCAACTACAGCAAGACTCAAACAACATCAAAGGCACACTTTATTGTTGCTGATTTTGGATCAATTTTCGCTGGTTTTGCAGAATTCTAAATAGATTGTGCACGTGTGCAAGCATGAAGGATGAGAGTGGCGGGCGGCGGCGGAGTGACAGAACCTGACAAAGCAATTAGGCGTGAGTGTTTAACTTGGTGGGTGAATTGATCTCATTAGGAGCATTAATAAGCTGGAGAGCAGCTGAGAGGAACAGCACAGCTCTTCCATCAGCTGTTGCACATTACGCAAAAGTGTGATCAATAGTGTGGGCTCTTCTGCACTTAAACAAATTCTTTCTACACACACACACACACACACACACACACACACACACACACACACACACACACACACACACACACACACACACACACACACACACATCTGTAAGGAAAGAATAAAAGGTAAAGTCCTCATTAGCCCAGTTTTCTTTATCATGTTTGTGAAGAGGGCACACCAAATGACAAGAAACCTCATAAGCTGCACCGACTGTCTCACTGATTCAGATGAATTTAATTAATTCACTGAACCTACGCTTCAGAGCATGTAGAACTTCACCCCTGCAGTCTGCTCCCAACCCCTGATAAGCCGGCTCTCGCCTGGAGGTGAGACTTTGGCGTGTGATGGGGGTGCATCGCCAGTTTAAATTATTGGCGCAACAAGGACATGGTTCTCTCTTCTTTTCTGCTTCAAACAGCACAAACCCGTCCTTGAGTTGGGAAATAAAGCGACAAGGGGAAATAGGCCTCTGAGGAAAATGTCAGTGTGCTCCACAAGGTGCTTATGGGTGAAATGGATGATGTAAAATTGCCAACTCTTGTTTGCTACAGACTACAAAAGTTCTTGTCGGTGTGCTTTTCAGGCAGAAAGTCTGTTCCTCCACAGCTGCTTAGAGAGCAAGAAAAAAAAACGGGTTGAAATGTTGCAGAAAGGTTTCAGAAGCCCTGTTTTCTGGTAAACTGGTGAGGTTCTTTTTTATTGTAAATACATTTTGAGACTATAAATGTCACTTTTATAAGTCTATTGTGTTTTGATTAGAGAAAAACAAAAATACTAATCCTCAAACCTTGTCTCCACACTCAGCTCATGCATTTCTTTGGGTTGCAAAATTTTTCCAGAAATCAAATAAGAAGGAAAATAACACATTATAGCACAATTTTCCTAAAACTGATGTAAAAACTTTAAATTAATTCAGATAAATAGATTTCATTCATAAAATAAAAGTTCGAGTTATCTGTGTTTCCATTAAATGTTTGTGCAACAAGTGAAATTTGGGGACATGAGCTTTTGTCATTTTGAGGGTGAAAAGATAAAGTGTGGTTAGTATACTTTACAGTTTTGCTTGCCTTTTGCACCCCCAAGTGTCCGTTTAGTAAAACCAAACGTGAAACGTCTCCTTGTTGTGCGTTTGCCTTTTTAACACCTTAATCTAACAGCTGAAATGTCTCCTCAGCCATCATTAGTTTCTACAGGAGCAGTTCATCACTAAGTCAGTTGTGTTCATGATCTTAAACATGCAGGAAACGTATCGGAAGCAGACTGCAGCACCAGATATGTCAGCTCCACTTTACTAAATCCAACAGGGACTGGACTGGATACTCTGGAGTTGCAAGTGCGTTATTCTGGCCACATAGGCTGTAGGGGTCTGAGTGTATTTTCATTAACATACTGGCTCAAGAAAATATGAAAAAGTTGTATATACTGTAGGGCTGCAAATATGATTATTCGGATCATCAATTAATTGGATGGCATCTCGACTTGATTAATCGATTAACTGGATGAAATGGGAAATTTTTACTCGAATCAATTATTTTTCTATAAAGCACTTTTCATACAAAAAATTTAACTCAAAACGCTTTACAGATTAAAACAACCCCACATATCCCACAAATGTCATTAACTAATTTACTTAATTAAAAACTGCTGGGGAGACATTTTTCTCTCCTTTCTTTACTTTATTTACTAACAAAACATGATTAGAAAACAGTTCAATAGCATGCAAAACAACATGCTATCATCTAAATATATCCATAATTGAACTATGATCAGCTAAATTTTCTGTATTTCATTAACAAGTTCAGTAGTACTGGAAATGCTAACCATATTTAATTTCTACTGCAAAAATTGCAGTAGAATTTATTATGTACGGGTTAGCAATAATCCAGTTTAAATTATGTTCAGAGATAGACGCGTTTGTGAATTACATGCTATAGTGGCTTTATAGAAAAATATGCCACCCAAATGGTAATTATATTAAAAAAATGACCAAAATGATCTTGAAAAATGGAAAATAAAGCATTCTTATTTCAGTTCTAACTGCTCAAAAACATAATTTCAGCCATTTTGGACAGTGCTAATATCCAAGCAACATAATAAGCTTTAGTTATGGATCTCTTTTTTTATTTTTATTTTTATTATATTGTTTTGTTTTTTGTTTTTTTGCAAAAAAAAGCTCAAAGTAATGTTGATTTGTAGCTGTTTCGCATTAAAATGTAATTGTGCTTGCATAAAATAGCCTGCAGGCTGATTTCATAACGTTGCAAACATTTGTGTCTTTATTTCAATAAAAGTTGCACCGGTTTTGACATTTGCACCAGCTTAAAGCTTATTAAATGATCTGTGGCGTTTAAAGGCTTCGGAGGCGTTGCGCAGGATTCCCTCCTTGAGAGCGCACAGCCCACACAGCTCAGTGGGAGCGCAGAGCAGCACATCCAACGTGGTCTATCGCTTATGAAGCGTCTCTTTTGACAATAAAACCCCATCTGCGTCCACCTGTCTGGACAGAATGTCTCCGAACATCTGGAACTGGATGGACTGGGTGGATGCGCTCTGCTCGATGCGCTGCGCTTACGCTCCGTCGTAGCGCGCGTTTCGTCGACGACGGGATGTGCTGGATGTATTTTCTCCGGAGTCTGTGAAGCGGAGGGCAGAGCAACACGCTGAGACCATGTGGAGAGAGGATGCGGGAGGCAGAGATCGAGTCTAATAGGAGAGCTTCATCTGCGCTTTTCTGGAAAAATAGTCTTCTGGGAGACACAGAGACGAGATGGTAGAGAAGTAAGATAAGTTCATTGGTTATGCTCTTTTATAAATGTGCTGTAATGGTTTTTTTGAAAAATGAATGGATTAACACAGTAGCCTAAATAGTATTCATTTCTGATGATGTGTATACTTTATTTTTTATTTCTAACCCACTAAAATTAAATCTAAGCAGATAAAGTGCTCCACTTTAAAGTTATTATGTAATTCTACTCATCTAGTCTTCAAAATATAAAATTTGCATAAGTTTGCTTTAAAGACTGCACCTCTTGGGGCAGTTATGTAATCATCCTGGGGTAGCAGAGCTGTGTGGGAATAAGAGAATGTGACAAATAGTGTTAAAACATTGATGAGTTATGTTTATTCAGTGGCTGCATGCACACACTAAGGAGTCTGTAACATCCCTGTTAGGAAAATGTTCCTCTTGTTGACAGGTAAACAACCCATTTACCAGGCTGACTAACCTGGATGGTTTGATGTTTTTCTCCATCATGCTCAATGTTCAGATTTAATGCTCTGGTGTCAGGCAGCGTAAATGAGCTGAAGGCAGGCAGAAAGCAGAAAACCCAGAAGGAGATGAAAATAGCGTAAGAGAAGGTATGGAGGGATGCTGATGCTGGGAGATTGTTGCATATCATTGAGAGTTGATGGAAAGTGCTGCACCGCTAGTTTATTATGCAAGAACCACGAAAATCACAACTTCAAACATGGTTATTAAAAATAAAACTACGCATAATTGTTTGGGCTACATTTTTATTTCAAAACCTTGTGTTAATCTTGATAGAAAGTCAAACCTCGGATTCAGGAGAAACAATGTCGTTGTCGTTTTGTCTGTGGAACACTGGGCCAGCTGATCCTGGAGGGTATGATGAGAGTTTGCCCAACCACTCTATGTGATTTGTGGAATTGGAGAAGTTAAAGTTAAAGTCCCATTAGTGATCACACTCTGGTGAAATTCATCTCCGCATTTGACCCATCCTCGTGGGGAGCGGTGAGCTGCAGCAGTGGCTGCGCTCAGGAACTATTTGGTGGTTGAACCCTCAGTCCAACCCCTTAAAGCTGAGTGTTAAGCAGGGAGGCATTGGGTCCCATTTTAAAATGTCTTGGGTATGACCTGATGGACACTCCGGGACACACTAAACTATTGAGAAAGTTTAGGAGCTCAAATGTGTCCCGGGGGGGGGGGTTTACTGTGGGAGAATGGGGTACAGGGCCCATTGATACGGGCTGTTGGGTCCCTGTATGACCAGTGCCAGAGCTTCATCCACATTGCCAACAGTAAGTCAGTCATGTTCCCGGACTCCGCCAAGGCTGCCCTTTGTCATAACTTTTATGGACAGGTGGTGAGGAGATCTGTTTTGGTGGCCTAAGGATCAAGTCTCTACTTTTTGCAGACGATGTGGTTCTGTTGGCTTCATCAAACCATGATCTCCAGCTTTTGCTGGAGCGGTTCACAGCCAAGTGTGAAGCAGCTGGGATGAGAATCAGCTCCTCTACATCCGAGATTATGATGAATGGATGGTATTAAACTTTAACAGTTTGTGCATCGTCAGTGGAAACAAAAATACCTCCAATCTCAGGATCAGCCCTTGAGCTAACAATGACAATTTAGGGATTAGTTGGTTGAAAAGCGTTCTGACAGCTGTAAAAGTTCTCACGCTTCATTTTGATAAAAAAAAAATCTTAGCATTAATATGCTAAGCAGCAAATAGAAAATCCACAGTTGTAGACTCCTACCCGGTATGTGTCACAACCCAAATCAACAAATATGTCAAAAACAGAAGGTTTCAAATAAAATAATAATGCATTTTTGTAACACAACTCAAATCTCAGAAACCCTAACATGAAAGTCTAGGTGCCTGTATAGATGTGTAAATAATGAATCAAGCATTTCATATGCCAAAATAACTCCACACATAAAGGCCACAGGGTGTTGAACCTGCAACCTTCTTGCTACAGCAACAGTGAAACCAGCTGTGCCACCATGCAGCCCAGTTCTGCTCATTTCCACCACAACTTCCTGGAAGACTAATCCAGTATCATAGCCTTCTGTGGGTACAGGTTGAAGGAACTCATAGTAAAACAGGCAGCATAACATCGTTATTATTTCATAAGACCAGTGTGGAGCGGCTCATGGTTTTTGCATGCTTGGAGCAGCTGGCTGTGCTGAGCAAACATTTCTTCACTGAAATAATCTCGTCTGTGAACTTGAAGAGTAAGGTGGAGAAAAAAAAAACTCACAAAAGATTAACTAATTTTTTTCTCATCATTGTGCAGTGGCTGCACCTGACCTCCTTGACCCAAAGGCTGCCGTCCACAATTCCAAACCCCGCCTGTCATTTTCCACCAAACCAGTGGTGCTGACCACTACGGAGGATGAGTGCGACGCCCCGCGGATGACCGTCATGAGGTGGAAAACTGTGTCTGCGATCTTCTTCCTGGTGGTGTTGTATCTCATCATCGGAGCGACGGTGTTCAGGGCGCTGGAGCAGCCTCACGAAACCAACCAGAAACTGGACATGATCGCTAAAAAGCTGGACTTCTTGGCCACACACGCCTGTGTGAACGTCTCAGAGCTGGAGAATCTTGTGAAGGTAGGTGGAAGCAACAACACAACTTTATAAATCTGTTTCATTCTTTCACAGGAGGTGAAAAATAGCCTGTTTGCAATCACGTTTAAGAAAATCAGGATCCATGAGAGGGACCTGAACACCAATTTTGGGAGCCATTCTTTAATAAGACACATGTCATGTTCAAGTTAGAATTTTGTTTCCATGGGTCCTTAATAGTGATTCGGAAGAGACAATGTTTAGTTTTTACCATTAATCTCTGGATGTATCCATCGAAATATTGTTTTGAAAAACATCGTAACATTCGACCATAAAAATCTGGGAGGGGGCCAAGTCTCTGGGCGACATCATATTAGACGCAGTGTTTCTTTCTACGTGAGCCCGTGAGGACAAAACGCATTTACTGATTTGTAACAAGCAGTTGCAAAATTTCCCTCTCATAAATGTTGTTGTTTTACACATTTGCCTTTCCATTGCCAGTGATGAAAGGGAGTCTGACGTGCTTGTCGTTTTGCTAGAGGTTGAACAATCTGATGAAGTACTTGTCGTTGACCCTAATGGCCATCCGTTAAGGTCTTAAAGTATCTTTGCGGAGTTTTCCCCTTTCAGAAATTATGTATGATTTTTCAGAAATCCGTAAAAGTGATTATCTTATCATGTACTGTGATACAATGTAAGCAATACGTCTTTTATGCACGCCCCCGCCTCGCAGAGCTCTGTGCAATAGGAAACAGCGCTGACAAGAACTAACCAATAGCGTTAGACTGCTATTTAAATGCTTCAAATTTAAGGAATACCTCGGCTGATGCAGAGTTGATGAACTTTTCACGGACAAGTAAGTCTCTAAAATATAAATATATGAGAACAGAAAATGAAATGAAAATAATACTCGTAAAGCAACGTATCGCAAGGGTATGCTGGGAACGTCTGGCAGAGTCTCCTGTCAGTAGGAGCTTCAATTCCGACAGAAGTTCAAAAATGTTCCGGGGGAGGCGGGGGACATTGAGTCCGAATGGACCCTGTTCTGTGCCTCCATTGTTGAGGCGGCCGACTGGAGCTGTGGTCGCAGAATCGTCAGTGCCTGTCGTGGTGGCAACCCCCGAACCCGCTGGTGGACATCGGCAGTTAGGGATGCTGTTAAGCTGAAGAAAGAGTCCTATCAGGTCTTTTTGGCCTGTGGGACTCCACAGGCAGCTGACGGGTACCGGCAGTCCAAGCAGAACGCGGCCCGGGTGGTCGCCAAGGCAAAAACCCGGGCATGGGAGGAGTTCGGTGAGAACATGGAGCAAGACTTCCGTATGGCTTCGAGGAGATTCTGGTCCACCATCCGGCGCCTCGTGTGTGTGTGTGTGTGTGGGGGGGGGGGGGGGGGGGGCACTACCAACACTATCTATAGTGGGGACGGTGTGCTGCTGACCTCTACTCAGGACGTTGTGGATCGGTGGGCAGAATACTTCGAAGACCTCCTCAATCCCACTGACATGTCTTCCAGTGAGGAAGCAGAGTCTGGGGACTTTGGGTTGGCCTCTCAAATCTCTGGTGCCGAGGTCATTGAGGTGTTTAAAAAGCTCCTCTGTGGCAAGACTCCAGGGGTGGATGAGATCTGCCCGGAATTCCTTAAGGCTCTGGATGTTGTGGGGCTGTGTTGGCTGACGCGGCTCTGCAATATCGCGTGGACATCAGGGACTGGCAGACCGGGATGGTCCCCTTATTTAAAAAGGGGGACCGCAGGGTGTGTTCCAACTACAGGGGGATCACACTCCTGAGCCTTCTTGGTAAAGTCTATTCAGGGGTTCAGGAGAGGAGGATCCGTCGGACTGTTGAACCTCAGATTCAGGAGGAACAATGTGGTTTTCGTCCTGGCCATGGAACACTGGACCAGCTCTATACCCTTAGGGGGATCCTGGAGGGTGCGTGGGAATTTGCCCAACCAGTCTACATGTGTTTTGTGGATTTGGAGAAGGCATTTGACCGTGTCCCTCGAGGGGCCCTGTGGGGGTACTCCGGGAGTATGGGGTACCAGGCCCTCTGATATGGGCTGTTAGGTCCCTGTATGACCGGTGTCAGAGCTTGGTCCGCATTGCCAGCAGTAAGTCAGGCTCGTTCCCAGTGAGAGTTGGACTCCGCCAAGGCTGCCCTTTGTCACCGATTCTGTTCATAACCTTTATGGACAGGATTTCTAGGTGCAGCCAAGGTGTGGGGGGGGGGATCTGTTTGATGGCCTGAGGATCAGGACTCTGCATTTTGCAGATGATGTGGTCCTGTTGGCTACATCAGAACGTGATCTTCAGCTTTCACTGGAGCGGTTCGCAGCCGAGTGTGAAGCAGCTGGGATGAGAATCAGCTCCTCTAAATCTGAGACCATGGTCTTGAGTCAGAAAAGGGTAGAATGCCTTCTCCGGGTCAGGGATGAGGTCCTGCCGCAAGTGGAGGAGTTTAAGTATCTCGGGGTCTTGTTCACGAGTGAGGGAACACTGGAGCGTGAGATCGATAGGCGGATTGGTGCTGCATCTGCAGTGATGCCGGTGTTGTACCGGTCTGTCGTGGTGAAGAGAGAGCTGAGTCAGAAGGCGAAGCTCTCGATTTACCGGTCGATCTACGTTCCTACCCTCATCTGTGGTCATGAGCTTTGGGTAGTGACCAAAAGAATGAGATCGCGGATACAAGCGGCCGAAATGAGTTTTCTCCGAAGAGTGGCTTGGCTCTCACTTAGAGATAGGGTGAGAAGCTTGGTCATTCGGGAGGGGCTCGGAGTAGACCTGCTGCTCCTCCACATCGAGAGGAGCCAGTTGAGGTGGCTAGGGCATCTGGTCAGGATGCCCCCTGGACGCCTCCCTGGTGAGGTTTTCCGGGCACGTCCAACCGGGAGGAGACCTAAAGGTAGACCCAGGACACGTTGGAGGGACTATGTCTCTCACCTGGCCAGGGAACGCCTTGGGATTCCCCCGGAGGAGCTGGCTCAAGTGGCTGGGGAGAGGGAAGTCTGGGCCTCTCACCTTAGGCTACTGCCCCCGCGGCCCGACTCCGGATAAGCGAATGAAAATGGATGGATGGATGGAACGTGTTTTAGCTGTTTGTCGGCTACAGAAGCACATTTATAAACAAGAACCGTGAAGTCACCATCTTTAAAAAAAAACTGATTGAGAGACTTTTTGTGTGATATGCTTGTTCGCCACTAGATGGTGCCATCGGATAAGAGAAATACTCCGGAAAGAGACTTTATGGCTGTTTCACATTAAAAGCATCAGTGGCATGGAACGACAGCGGAACGTCGCTGCTTCATATAGAATTCATTATAGCTTAGGGGGGTGTTTCAAACCAGCCGCAATGCAGCAGTTTTCAGGCGCGTCTCAGAAGCGGCGTGCCGCGCCGCTGAAGATAGGGTCAGGTTCTATTTTTGCCGCTTCTGGGTTGCAAGACAGGAAATCACAGATGGTTTCAGTGTAAAATCCCCAGTAATTTTCAAAAGAAAAGTACTGCAGCAATGCAGTGTAGCTTACGTGTGACCCAACGGCTTATTTACTCACAGAACCAGAAGTACAGCTCGCAAGTAAAATGTTCCGCTGCAGCTCTGCGCCACTGATGGTTCCAGTGTGAAACTGGTTACAAAAATACTTTTTTCTTGCAATTATTTAAGTATGTACTGCCCCCTGCTTCCAAAGAAAATACACACAGTCACTTTAAAACATATTTAAAAATATATATTTCTTAAGAAAAACTAAAACAATCCTTTATCTTTTGCACTAATAATTGCAGTAATTTACCAACATTAGAGAACACATGCATGCAGGTTTTAGCTCAGCTTTTCCAGACTAATGCTAAATAGCCTTTCAGACTGCTCTTTTTTCTAGCCTTGGGTGGATGTTATCAAAAATGTAGACCATAATGCCTTGACACCTGGTTATTAGAACAACATGAAAGCTGTGGTTTAGCACCGAGCAAATAAAACATTAACAGGATGCAATTCAAACCTCTTTGCAGATAGAGTCAAAAATATTCCCGCTTGTGCAGACCCTGTCAATGGGAGGCCAGACGTGACCTATAAGACCAAATAAGACAACAATTTTCCTAACAAACTTCAAGCTGCAACAGTAAATGCAATTCAACTTTACTAAAACATTAACTAGCATCAAGAAAAACATGAGCATTAAATGTTAGGCGTGCTTTGCTTTCTTACACACTAACTGGAAATAATGTTTGATTTCAGTTAAATGTTAAAACATCAAAACCTCCACCTGCATAATTAATGCTTTTTCTCACTCCTGATCTTTAAGCCATTTAACTCAAAAAAATTTACTTGTGCCTTTTATCTTATGGATTAGTTCATCTCAGCTGTGAACGCGTTGGTGCATCTGTGAGAATAATGATCATTTTTCTCATGTTCCAGAGCAAAAACTTACATTTTCAAAAGTATCCTCACTGTACACTAAGAAAAAACTGTTGAATTAACTTAACCAAGTTATGTCAGCTGGTTCCACTAAACCTTAAGTGTAAAGAGTAGTACACAATGTGTAACATTGTTGTGTTTTAAGTATATGGAACCAGTTGACATAACTTGGTTAAATTAATGTTATTTTTTACAGTGTAGCAATGCATGCAGCCAGCCTTCCTCTTCAAGAAAATATCAAAATAAGCTTCTGAACAGTTTATTTGTCTGATACAAGCATAAATGTGTAAACAAGTATTTAAAAGTAACACCTGTTGGAAACATTTCTGCATTTAGAAATAAAAAGCAGTTTGATACAACATAACACACAATATATTTTAGTTTTAATGGAACATAATAAAGAATGTTTTTATTATTTTTATTTATGTAATCTATTTACATTTTTACATGTAAAGTAAATATGTATACAGAACATGTGATAGTCACAAATAAGCTGTGTTGACAAATTTAATTACTGAATAATGTTCATTGCCCACCCGCCCGCTTTAAATGTGTTTACTTTTAATTAAGAGGAGCGTTTTAATTAGCTTCTGGATGCCGAGTTGGTGTTTAACTGTACTGGTGATACTTTTCACTGTTAGATGATCAATCTTCCCAATCAGCTGTTTGATAGTGAATTTTTGCCAGAATCAAATGTGACCGTTTGCACTCTCAAAACCAGTTTCATCATTTTATTTGTACCTCTGTTACCAAAAAGCAGATCTGAATCAGTTTTTGTCGACTCATTTAATGTCTTAGAGACAAGCAGTCAAAAGAAATGGAATTATTTTTATGTGCTGCAGCTCTAAAGCCAAAAGTTTTTATGAATCGTCTCTGGCAGCTTTCTAGCTGTAATGGCAAATATTTCCAAATGTTTGTACTGGATAATAAAACTGAAAAATGTGCAGCTTATTAAGGCTTCCGCTGAGTCGTGAAAACCCGTCTCCACGTCCATCGGCTGCATCTAAAGGACCTTCTCACATCCTTTAACTCTGCAGTCAGGCGCGAGGGCTGCATATTTTTCCAAACTGGTGTCCCAGAGCAAAGGGGGTGTTTAACACCATCAGCAGCATGGTCTCTCCTGCTTCACCTACAGCCTCCATCCACTCGGAAGGAGACTGAAGACTTTTAAGGTTAGATCTCTGCTTCAGCCTTATCTCTGCCTCTCCCGACTCCAACCGGCCCGTCATCCCAGATAGCTTTGCTGCTGTTTCTTTGCCTGAGCTAACCAACTTACAAGGCATTCATTCCTACTAGAGACCAATAAACCTGTAAACCTACGGGAATGGTCCCCATAGATGACTGCTAATGTTGATCCTTGGACTGAGAATGGTTGCAAAATGACTTTAGAAGAGGTTTATGATTACAAATTCACAGTGAAAGTTCACAAATCAAGTCATTTTTTTCTGCACCTCTCTAGACCAGAAGCGTGTAGTAGCTAAAAGAACAAGATCTCAAATTAGTTTCTTTTCATTCTGAGTTATATTTCCCAATTTCCTCACACCTATGTACCTGTTAACCCACCTGTTTCCCAGTTGGCTCTCCCAGTACTAACAGCCCTTAGTTTCTTGGGTCTTTTAGTGTTTTTATAGTTGTTGTCCCCTCGTGCTGCCGTTCTTTCTGCTCTGTCATCAGCCCTTTCCTTTTATTATTACAACTTTGTTTTTATGACAAAGACTAATTCTCCTTTATTTATTCTCACATTTGGTGTCATTAAAATGCAAATTTTGGAGCAGAGTATCAGTATTTAGTAAATATGAAGTGATTTAGGTTTAAAAGCTGAGGTAGACTTTTAGTTTGTTTTGCAGACTCTTCATGACGCTTTTGTTTGAAATGTGCAAACTTGCAGTTGAGCACTATACTCCTGAATGTTTACAAAAGCACTTAAATTAACTCAATTCATTACTGACGCAGTCATTTAAAGGGGATAATGTGACTTTGTGAGACATAAAAAGTAATTAGCAGGTCGCTCCAGTCGAGCCGACCAGGCGTTAGCTGCTTCTTTTGTGGTTTCACTAAACTACAACTGAATCCAACACCATCGCCCATCATCCACCAGTGAGCGGCTCGATAAATGAGCAGCAACTCAGAAACAATTCCTCATCTGATGATGATTTATTGATACGCAGCTTCACGTTTTACTAATTATGTGTACAAACACACACACACTGTGAGCTCTCAGTGATCAAAAGTCAGTCAGCAGAGGATTGAAAAGAAATCTGCTCTCAGGGGGGTTCATTAAACAGGTAAGAGAAATCAAATTCCCTATTTGGTTCTGTTTGCAGACTGCTCAGGTTTTATGTCATCCTGTTTTCACATATGTCGCTTTGTGTGAAGCTGATGAAGCGGCGAGCTGATAATAAGATCTCCTGGCTGGGAAACAAAGAGGCTGGCTGAGCCAAGCCTCGCTGATTGCGCTAAATGATGTCTTTTAGAGGCGCAGTGAATGCCGTGTTTTATCTCTTAACCAGCTCCTTTGTGTCATTTAGAAATGGTTGTAAGGCTGAAGACACTCAACGCTTGCAGGGTTTGGCTTTCTGCATGAATGTTTATTTTCTCTCCAATTAAAAACAGCCAGAAGTCAAATTTGTTTTCACACAATCCTTGTCAAAGTTGACTATGTGCATAATCTCACGCATTTTAGATGCTCTCTGAAGAGCTGTGTCTCGACAAGGAAGCCCCTGTAAGATGTGCTGGGCAGGTCATTCCACATCTGTGGAACGACACATGAAAAGAGTCTGGATTGTCCTGAGCGTGGTGTAGGCACTGGTAGCCGACCATCCTTCGATGACCGGAGCTGCCAAGCCGGGACGTAAGCCTTTGCAAGAGGCAAAATTCTCATTTTTGTCTCGTTAGCTTCGTTGTTCAAACTCTCACTTTTACCTCTTTATTCTGCATCATAATCGAAGCTGAGCACCACAAACTAGAACGATCTAATAAACCCTGTATATGCTGACCATCATCTGTTATCTCAGCATTACTGCCATGTTCCAGACAGAAGTGTACATAAATTACTGCCCCTGCTGATAAAACCTTACATTCATTTAACTGCACCACACAAGAATGAAATTCTTTTGTAGGACTTGGATATTACCTTCTGGAGTGTTCCCTAAGCTTTGTGTCCCAATTGTCTCTGTAACGATTCTGTGAAGATGTTGAGATACACTTGAGCCGAGTCACCTTTTGTCTCGCTGCAGTAAATTGTTCTGTTGTGTTTTTAGAGTCAGTCGTAAGAAAATCCATTTGGCCAAGCTTCCTGAAGAGCTGACCATTCCCTGAAGGGTTTTTTTCCCCTCAGGAATTAAAAAAAATGCATTCATAAAAGTGGCATTTTCTTTACACATCATTGGCTTTGGTTAAATGTTTAGGTCAACTTTTTTATTTATTTACCATGATGATTGATCTACAGCGCAAATTTTTAGAAAATTTCCCAAGACACCTTGTTTTAATAATTTATTTTTTCTCTATTTCTTTGCAGCAAGTGGTGTCAGCCGTTCGAGAAGGAGTGAATCCATCAGGGAGTTTATCCAATCAGACAAGTCTATGGGACCTCAGCTCCTCCTTTTTTTTTGCTGGGACCGTTATCACCACAATCGGTAAGAAGAATAGACACTTTCTGGGGTGGGGGGTGGTGGGGGGGTGGGGGGGGGGTGGTTAAGAGTTTACTGCTTGGACTGGTATAAAAAGTGAACATATTTCTCTGATTGCAACATAAAAACATTTGTATGTTTTTATTTTATTACAAAAGTTATTTCCCCAATGTTCATTGAGGGGCCAAAGTTGGCAGGGACAAGATGCTATTTGTATAACCATTTCTGGCATGAAGATGAAGAAAATATCATTTCTATAGCACCTCTCAAGATAAAAATCACGAGGTGCTTCACAAGAACAAAAAATGTCAAAGTATAAAAAAGAATTTAGAAAATGGTTAAAATATATTTTAAATGAGCAAAAAATAGACATTTGTGATTAAAAAATGTTAAGAAAGAGAGAGAGTGAACAGGAAAGAGGGAGATCAGTGGACCCTGAGAAAGGTGGAATAGGTGGGGAGAGCAGAATAAAGAGAGAGTGGTGAAGAAGGTCATACAAAAGCCAGCTTGAACAAGTGAGTCTTCAGCTGCTTTTTAAAGGAGACCACTGAGTCCACTGATCTCAGGCTCAGGGGGAGAGAGTTCCAGAGTCTGGGGGCCACAGCAGCAAATGATCTGTCACCTTTGGTCTTTAGCCTGGTGCTGCACAACCAGTAGGCTTTGATCACTGGACCTCAGGGACCTGCTGGGGGTGTAGGGACTAAGAAGATCACAATGTAAGATGGTGCTTGTCCATGTAAGGCCCTATAGACCAGAACCAGGATTTTGAAATGAACCCTGAAGTTGACTGGCAGCCAGTGAAGCTGGAGGATGTCATGGTCTGCGTCTGCGTCTTCCCTTATGTGTCTCCTGATGTTTCTCCATCCCTCTCTAGATTCCCTTTTGTGTCTCATAGCGCCCTCATGTGTCCTTTGTCTGCATCTCATTTATGTGTTTTCTGTTTGTAGGCATTCGATCATCCCCATCCCCTCCAGTTGTAGCTCCAGCCTCTTTGTCCCCAGCTCTGTGTCTGTGTGGGTGCGTGCGTGTCCATTCCCCAACTCAGCGTGTGTGTGTGTGTGTGTGTGTGTGTGTGTCTGTGTGTGTGTGTGTGTGTGTGTGTGTGTGTGTGTGTCCATTACCCAGTTCAGTGTGTGTGTGTGTGTGTGTGTGTGTGTGTGTGTATATTTGGGTGTGATTGTGTGTGTGTGAGTCCTTCCCTCAGTCTTTTAGTTTAGTTTTGTGTTTTATAGTTTTAGGTTTATCTGGCCTCCTTTGGTTCTGTTTCCCCATTTAGATAATTGTTGTCACCTGTCTTCCCTCCAGCCCTCACTCCACACACCTGCTTCCTGTTTCCCTGATTGTTCCTCCCAGTGTATTTAAGCCCTGTTTTGTCTCTGTGTTGTGTCGGTCCATTGTTATGTTATTCTGTCAGTTTCGTCTCGCTTTGGATTACTAGTGTTTTTGGCCTTCTCGTGTTCACTTGTGTTTTTGGATTTCCAGATCTCTATCTGGATTTTTGGACTTTTGGCTCCCAGCCTTTTGGATTACTTTTGTTTTTGGTTACTCCTAAAATAAAGGATTTTTTATATATATTCAACTCCTGCCTCGTGTCATCGTGGGTTACTGCATTTTGGGTCCTGCCAACCTTGCTTCGTGACAGAGGAGAAGCGGGGTGATGTGGGTGTGTTTGGAGGACTTGGTCAGAATCCGAGCACAGGCATTCTGAACCACCTGTAGACGGTTCAGGGAGGTTCTGCTCAGACACGTGAAAAGAGAGTTACAGTTGACTAAGCGTGAGGAGATGAAGGTGTGGAGAACTGTCTCAAGTTCAGACCGAGACAGAATGGGACTCAGCTTAGCAATGTTCCTGAGATGGAAGAAGGAAGAGCGAACAAGAGAACTGACATGAGAATCCAGGGTGAGAGCTGGGTCAAAGGTCACGCCAAGATTCCTGACGAAATGTTTGGTGTGGGAAGCAAGCTGACCAAGAGAGTCTCTGACTTTGGGAACCAGCTTGTCTGGGGCACAGATGAGGATCTCAGTCTTATCTTCATTCAGCTGTAGAAAGCTCCCAACCATCCAGGTTTTGATAGAGTCTAAGCAGGTGTGTAACAGCTGCAGCTTAGACATCTCATGGGGCTTAAAGGAGATGTACAGTTGGATGTCATCTGCATAAAGATGGTAGGAGATTCCTTTGAAGGAGCTCAGGATGTGCTGAAGAGGAAGCAGATAGAGGAGGAAGAGCAGAGGCCCCAGCACAGAACCTTGTGGGACACCATGGGTAAGGGAGGTGGTGGATGACCTAAACTTGGAGACGGCCACAGAAAAGGAGCGCTCAGAGAGATAAGAGGAGAACCACTCCAGAGCAGATCCTGACAGGCCTACCCAGTCTCTGAGCCTAGCTAACAGGAAGCTAACATAGGCCTTCGGACAAAATGCAATCTGGGATTTTCCCAGCATGCCAAAAGAAAAAAGAAAAAGAAAAAGAAAAATTCTATTAAACACATTCAAACTCGATGTTTTCACAGTTCTTTCCAGCAGTTTTCATTTCTAAATCAGTCAGAGTGACTCATTATTGGTCAAATTAGTTGACGGAAATGAAATCATGGCCCACAATTTGGGGTCTAAGTGGAGCTTGTGTGAGATTGTTTTTGATGTTTTTTTTTTGGAGAGGGAAGTGAGAAAGCTCTGCAGGGTTTTGAGTGACTTCCATCTGCATCTATTTGCTACCTTACAGCTGACAAAAGGTTAGCAGTGAGCTGCTGGGTGCATCATGTTTTCATCCTGCAGATCATCATCAGCCTGATTCCTAAATGTCATTTTATTCTACAACATGTTGGGTTAATTCTGAATAGTCTTTTCCAGGGTGTTGCTATCTCACCTCTTGCACATAATGGTGCAGTTAGTCTTCATTCCACGTGTGCAGAGCAAAGCTTTTATGGGAAATGTGTGGATTAAGGAATCACTAGACTTCCAGTTTGCCTTAGGAACAGAGCATGAACAAACTCAGCGAGCCAAAACCATTTTTAATTGGGCTTTAATTGTTGCTCTTGCTGCTCGAGCTCTGAGGACAGCAACAGTCTGCTGTATTCAGGAAATTATTTCTCCCTGAACAAAATCCTTAGCTGGTTTTAAAGTGTCCTCAGGGAAAGACTTAGCTCCACTGCAGTGCAAGAGATGCTGTTTGTTTTCAGCAATAAAAAATTAAACATGTTAGTTAAATTAAAGCAAATGCTCGTTGCTCTTTTTCAGAAAGTTACAACCTGAGCCTGCATCATGTCTCCCATCATTTGTACACCATGTGTCATCTGCAGCTGGAAGAGCTTTCTAATCAGGAAAAGAAAGAACAGCCCACACAATCACACATACGCACACTCCACACGCACTTTCTGACAGCTCATCTGGCTTTTCCAATTGGACCTTGACAGATCGCTGTGTCTCCTCAGCAGGCTGTTGGGCTTCATTTCACATCTCGAGTGCTCTGTCAAAGCTCACCCTCTAATGAGAGAATCAAATGCACTACATTATAATGAACTCCTTCTGCTATCTGGATGGGACGCTGGCGTACTTGTTTTTCCCAGATGAGCGATGGTCATGATCTTGATGAACACTTTTAACACCAATTTGCAGAAACTGCATGCAGTTGAAACCTCTACTGGACCGGTTCCCAGATTTCCAGATTGTTTTACAGTCCCACAGGAGTCTGCTTGTTTATCTGATCACTAATAATCACGGAAATTTGCCAAAGATGTCATGCACACTTCATATCTTCACCATTTTACATTGAAAATAGCCTTACATCAGACTGACTGCTGTTTTTTATTTAAACATAGTTTTGGTGGCTTCTGTTTTTTAAAAATCACACATGCTGACAGTCCGGGTCAGCCATGCTCTCAACAAATTGCAGGTTTGGTGAAGTTTGAATTGAAGAGGCTGCAGTTTTTCCTCATGTAGTACAAGAGTGTATTGATAGCTGCTGATGGATGAAAAAAAATACACACAGTTCAGCTCTTTGGCTTCAGCTAAGAGCATGTTTACTGTTTTGGGAGAAATTCAGCACAAGCCAAATCGTCTAAGAGGAAATAAGGTGGTAGGGTGTTCTTGGGTGGTGTTCTGTGTTCTGTCCTCTGTGCTTGTTAGTGTCAGCAGCACATAACTGATGATCTATCTGCAGGCAATCAGATTTTTACTCTGGAGTTGCTCCCATTGAGAGGCGCCGAGCAGGGGTGGGCATACTTGTTGCTCCCCCATCTTGGTGCCTGTACGTTGGGGTTTACCCCAGTGAACTAGAGGGTAGCCTCCCCCCGCCCACGTGTGGGGGGTCGGGTCCCGACTGTGGTTTGTGCTTATGCAGCTCAGACTACCCACCCTTTTTGGAGTACTTAGAGGGGGTGCTGGAGAGCACTCCTTCCGGTGACTCCCTCGTTCTGCTGAACGATTTGATTTGCTGCAGGACTTTAACGCTCATGTAGGCAAAGACAATGAGACCTGTAGAGGTGTGGTGGGGAGGAAAGGCGAGTTTTGAACCTGCGACCTTCGTGCTGCGAGGCAACAGTGCTAACCACTGCGCCACCATGCAGCCCATTTGTGCTCTTGGCACCAGGATACCTTAGGCGATCAGCTTTGTTGTCGTTTCATCTGATCTGCGGCCGCATGTCTTGGACACTAAGGTGAAGCTCTATACCCTTAAGAGGATCCTGGAGGGTGCGTGGGTGTGTGTGGTGCATTTGGAGAAGATGTTCGACCACGTCCCTCAGGTGTCAAAGTGGGGGGTACTTTGGTAGTCTGGGGTACTAGGCCCTCTGATATGAGCTGTTAGGTCCCTGTATGATCGGTGTCGGAGCTTGGTCCACATTGCCGGCAGTAAGTCGGGCTCATTTTTGATGAAAGTTGGACTCCGTCAAGGCATCTCTGTCACCGATTCCATTCATAACTTTTACGGACAGAATTTCTAGGTGCAACCAAGATGTTGAGATGATCCGTTTTGGTGGCCTGAGGATCAGGTCTCTGCTCCTTGCAGATGA